GACACTGTTGGAGATGGCCGTGTCACCGCATGTGTCTCGTGGTGTGTGGCCGCGCCTCGGGCTGGGGCTGGGAGGGGGGTGGCCTGGAAGATGGGAACCGGGTGCAGGCCGCTTACATGGGCGCACTGGCTAATTGCTGGCTCGCCTCGCTTTAATGCACGCTCGCAGGCAGTGTGCGGGGCCGCTCCCACAATGGCCATTCACGCACCGCCAGGCCTCGCCGTTGGTACCCAACTCGCTTTTCACAGCATGTGAGGTGGTGCCTGGTTGACTTTTCTGGCTCCCTGGAAATTCCCTTGCACCCCCATCTTCGGACCGGTAAAGGTCGCTGCACCGTCGAAAAGGGAAACCCACGGTCTGGGTCGTGCCGCCGGGCTTCGTGTTCATGGGGCAGACCGCTGGTCCATTGGGCCAGGCAGGCTGCCCTTTTCGATTTATTGCCTACCGCCCCAACGCCAGGCTCCCGACCTTCTCCCAGCCCGTGGTGGTGGTCGGGACAGATGGGGCGGTAATGGTTGCCGCTACAACGTCGGGTTGGCCCTCTCCCAGGCACTGATTGACAGGCTGTCCAAGCATCCGAGCTGTTGGCTACCCAAACTAGCAGCAGTGGTGAGACGAATCACCCCAGTACCCAAGGTCTTGCTCTAACATCTGTATGCGGCCAGCCAGATCACGCTCTCCCCATGACCACGTAGGTACCTAGGAATAAGTCTTGAGCCTGCGTTGCTAGTACCAGGCCCGGTTTTGCACGTGGTGGTTAGTGGTTCGCCAGTGCAGACTAGGGAGCTATCCGATGTCCCGGTGCCGTGCGGTGAGAGCCTGATCAGTGATCTCCTCCTTTTGAGGAGCTCATCTTACTCACGCCGCCTCTGCTAGACCAGGTGACCTCATTTCAACGCAAAGGTGAATCGCTGTACATAGCACCATCGTCATCCTTGCAGTTGGCTGATATAATTTCCACGTTAATTGCTTCATTCAAGTCAGCCTCGTTAGTACTTCCAGCCTCCATCATGTCATTTCAGCATCGGATTTAGGGGCCATAATAGTCATTGTCTCTCATTTACCATCCTAAGGGGCTGTTTTAGCACCAAGGTGCCTCCTTGCATCTACCTCCGCTGCCAAGAATCCTACCCTATACACTAGCACAAACGTTCTACCACCAATCGAAAGTAGCTTATGCAGTCTATCTTCCCGGCTTCCAAATGTGTAATGCCTACAGCCCCTGAAAAGTCCATGACGTGTTGATCATGATCTGGGACTTTGTTTCCTTGCCGGAGCGCATGCCGAATGACAAGTTGGCCGCCCCCTGCTCAGTGATCAATGCTGCGTAATAATGATCAGCCTTCGTCATACAAAAAGCCAAGAACTGGTTTATGAGTTGGTACTTACTCTTCCCAAATCCTGCCTTGGACTGCCTCCAACTCGTCTGTCGTGAGGCGTTTTCCGGCGGTGAAATAACCTTCGCATCGTAAGCTTCTTTTTGATCCGACAACATTGCGGCACTTGACCATGGGACCATCTTACCTGCTGTAATCTTGGCGTCGATTTCTACACGCGAATCTGCGGGTATAAGCTCGTCCGGCAATTCCACCCTCTCGTGAATGGGAATTCTGTGGAGCATGTTTTAGCTCTGGATTCCATCAAGTGATACTCAACTGTTGTCTCAAGTATTTTCTGATCACCAACTTACCCTTGGCCAACGATGGCATCGTGTTTCATGCTATGGATCGTTAATATCATCAACGCTGGCGCCTGACACTTGGCTTTGACTCACTTGCTCATGCTGAGCATGCGATCGATCTTGCTTATGCCTAGCCAGTGAAGAATATCCGGCATCAGCGCTTGGAATCGCATGTCTTTGACTCCAGCAATGTTTTCCGTCCGCTTGAAGTAATCCGATGCTCGATCGGCGCCTCGCTTGCGCGCATTGTACACGACTGATAAAGAGAAAAGAGACAAGAGTTAACACTCGAAGCGGGCGGTATCCGAGACGCATAAATCGGGCATCAATCTGGAGTTGATGTGTCACTTACGGTACTGCCAATCTGATTAGTTATGTGATCATATTGTGGTCAAGTCAATTGGTTCCAACGTACCTTGGTCACCTCTCCCAGCGCCCTGCCTTCTTTTCTGAAGTAAATGACGACACCGCTGCCTCCATTCTGCGCCTCCTTGACGGCTTCCTCGATACCGAAAATGAGGTACGGGCGACAAGTACAAATGTCGGAACCAAAGACGTCACTTCCGTTGCACTATCATCATAAGTTAGTGAGGTGGCCCGAACGAAGATCACGGATGACTTTGACCTCGTCATGAACTCTGAGAGACAGCCGCACGTTTGGGTCTGACATCTTTGCTGGATCGCCGAAGCAGTAAACAGTGAGACCACCTGTTTGAGTCAGACTCTGTCCAGTATTTTAGCAACACTCCCATGAATACATACCGATTGGAGGGAGGAAGAGCTTTAAGTCGCCTCGTGTAATGAGCTGTGGCCAATTAGCGGGTGCCATGAATTGTATTTTGAAGATCCCTACCTCGGGATAGCTGCCACCAGTATGCTCGAAGAGTGAGCGGCGGAGAGTCCCCTCATCTTGGAATCGTTAGCGAGCACTCGGGAACTAACATCTAGTCTCACTCACCAATGCCGAATCTCTCAGCAACGCCGGGAAGATACCAAACCTGAGCATGTTAGACTGGGGGGCCTTCTTGATCGTGTCGAGAAGAATGTTAAAACATACAGGCTCAACAGCGAACTTGGTAACTGCAAGTTCACCAAGATCGTTCAAACAGATTTTCCCATCCGGGACCCTTGGACTTGATTAGATTTGCCCTCACTAATGAGGTACCCTGGACTCACAATCGGCCTTTCCTCACACTCTCCTCAAGCTCTGGTAGCTTGACAGTATGTTAGAGGACGAGCGTGTTATTCTTGGCAAGAAAATACTAACTTTCATGTGGGCTTTGGTGATGGCAATGGTTGGCCGGATGTCAACTAAGTCACAGTCAGTAACCGTCTTTTCTCTCTTGTACAAATGGGAGCTCGCCCATACCGTCATCCTTTCCAATAATGTCTTTGAACAACCATGGCGCCAGATGTCCATAGGGATCCATGGCCACGATCTTGTCTCGGTCACCCCACTGAGGGAACGGCCCAACGTTGACGGCGGGCTCCGTGTTGGTGAAATCCGGCCTGTCGAGCGTCAATTGCCTGGACTCCCATTTTGTACAAGCCCGGCACAAACCTGTGGTCGATGTTCAATTCTTTACTGGCCACTGCCAAGGCATAGTAAGTGGAATAGGAACCTCCGCTAAAAAACTCGAGTTAGAATTCAGGCGCCTGCATTGTTGTTCTTCAGAGGGAAACCAACTGGGCTCCGATTGCTGATAGATCAAAAACGAATCAGTAACTTTGCTCAACATGGGACGAAGGAAAAGAGGGTAGACGGACCGTTTCGTTTACGAATAGTATTTGCCAGTCTCGAAACAACGACGGGACCTCTCTTCAAAGGATCGGGATTGCCCCAGTCCATGGGAAGAGGGTTGATACCGATCTGCTTGGGATATGTTCTTCACACCATCAGTGCACGAAAAAGATATTAGATGCTGTCTGTCACCTACGTGAGGACAATACGGGACGTGAATGCGGATTTCTGGGCGGGAGACGCAGCCTCCGATGATCGCTGAATCTTGCCACCATCATCTTCAACGTCCCGAGAAACAGACTCAATAGACGATGTCGGGATAACGCCTTGGGCGTCTCCGTCCTCACTCTTCACTGATCTGGCTACGAGAGTTGCTGGGAATGGGGGCGAGGCAGTGTCAGGGAATGCCACGTTCACACGATTAGATAGAGCCTCAACCGTAGCGACAAGCTGCGACTGGGTCTCCTGGAGCTTCAGGATGGTGGCAACAAGGAGATCATTTTGCTGTGAATTCTGATCCATGTTGAAAATCGAAGGACTGGACACCACTTGTGTACAAGTGGACGTATATTCACACTAGTAGACTGAGGAAATCCCGAGGAACGTAGGATCTAAGTAGGTGGGATGTAGAGAAAGGAAGCACACGTTGGGTGAGGAGGAGCCGACGTTAAATCCAGTTGCCCGTCAGGTCTGAGACAGACACTGTGCTAGTGGAATGGTTGGGGGAGGCACCACCGCTGGTTAGGTTACCCAGCTTGGGACTTACCGCCATTGCTGCAGGCAAGTCCAACCTTATCGAGGTAGGGATGTATGTACGTGTGATGAGGTGTGAGGTAACCAGTACCTGCCCGGCTCAGTCTGGTCCTGTGAGAGATGGAGTTGGGAGTACCTGCGTCATCAGGCATAGGTACAACTGGGACTAGCTGCGCTGTTGCTCATCAGGTCACGAGATGGAGTGCTAAGGCAGGTACGTCTACGCTGGGCTTTCATCCCGATGGTTCCGGGTTTGGTGGCTCAGGGTTGGGCGCCATGCGATAGGTCGGAAGCTCTTGTTGATGCTTGCTCAAACTGGCGGGTTATTGTGTTTTGAGAGTCCCATGATCATTATCGGATTGTTATTAGTCTTCCAATTCAGGTCGCCTTCTAGCGGTGGGGTTATGTATGGCCTTGTGCTAGGTAATGCGGAGAAAACTCCTAGCACCCCACTCTTATCACTGTTTGTCTACGGTTGTATTCGTCTGGCGCGACGACGGTATAATTAGCACAAAAGAATTGCCCTAGTTATGATACTGCTTAGCGTTCGGCTTATGTCTGTTGGTCTGTGATACGTCAACTCTATAGAGGCATTACGGCGGATATACCGATAATGCCATGCACCGACATAAGCACGTGCCCGCAAAATGCTTATCGATAGCAACACCTAAACGATGTGGGCAGCGCGCCCTCGTCCAACCCAACTCGACTTTGTCATGACTGCGAGAACCTTGAACGCATTCTTGTCTCGGCGGTTATTGTCTCGTAGCGAAAGCTAGATTCAATCCAGAGAAAAGCGCGCGAAATCCTTTGGGTGTCGCTGATATGGGAAAGCGCAAGAAGTCGTCGAGAGGCCCTCAGGGTCCAAAAAGGGTTTGAAGAACCTGTTGCCGTTTTCTACGCGCCGTGAATACTAACCCTTGCGCCCTCGACAGGCCGACCCTCTACCTACTGTTTTCACCTGTCTCTTCTGCAATCACGAGAGCTCAGTTACGGTCAAGCTGGACAAGAAGGCTGGTGTTGGCCAACTGGACTGTCGCGTGTGCGGGCAGAAGTTCCAATGCGCCGTCAACTGTACGTTCGCTTTCGCATTCACTGGATCAATCATTGACATTGCCTTCTTTTGCGTAGATCTCTCTGCCGCTGTTGATGTCTATGGCGAATGGGTCGATGCCGCAGGTAAGTATCTTGCGCTATGTAGTGCATATGGACAGCCTCAAGGCCTAAACTAACACACGCCCATAGATGCGGTTGCCAAGGAAGATAGCAGCGCCCAAGGATACGCGGGTACAGCCAGACCTCCTGGGCGAAGATTGACGAGTAAAGCCGCAGCAGGCGACGATGACGATGACCGATACGATGGCGAGGGCATTGTGGGCGACGACGAGATATGAGCCGAAGCTATGATACGATACATCTTTTCTAATGCCGCCCAGCCCAACCCAGCACAGAATATTATACCGTCAACCATGCAACGGCGCGAGTCTTTCTAGTCTATCCCAATGCAAACTTACCCCGCATTAGATGGTATAGAAGCGGTCGCCGAAATCTCCCAGGCCGGGCACAATGTAACTGCAAGAAAGAAAGTTAGTGGGAGCACAGTGGTAACTGGCAAGTAGACCTACTTCTTGTCATCCAGGCCCTGCGAACAAATGTTAGAACCGACATCAAAATAGTGTTAAATAGGTAATTGACAAGCAACTCGGAGATGCCTTACCTGGTCGATGAATGCTGTGACAACCGTGACTCTGGGGAATTTTGATGCAAAGTTCTTGACGCCTTCAGGGCTGGCAATCAAGTTCAGGAAAAGAATATGGTCCTCAGGGACACCACGGGACTTGAGAACATCTACAGCCATGATAGCTGAGCCACCTGTTTTTATGATTGTTAGTTATTCTTATACTATGCTGATTGAGATGGGCGGATCTGACCAGTAGCGAACATGGGATCCAGGAGGAGGACCCAACGTTGTGCAATGTCCTCTGGGAGCTTGTCGTAGAAAAGCTTGGGCAAGGCAGTCTCCTCATCTCTTTGGATCAAGATCTTGCCAATTCGTACGGATCGGCAACAGTCTCGCAGGCCCTGCTCCATGGCCTCACCAGCTCGCATGATGGAGACACCGCAGATTTTCCCTTGGAACATGAGCCCATTGTAGGTGTGACCAACAGGAGTGGTGACATTTCGCTCAATGACAGGAAGGTGGTTCAGTCCCTCTTCAACAAGCAGACGGATGATGCGATTGGAGTAAAAGATGAAATCGGCCCTGTCAGTATCCTTGTTACGGATCATGCTGCCCGCACTTTAGTTCCCGTACTTCAAGAGCCTGATATGGGACCTGAGACTTACGACAGCAGCGCAATTAATTGAGGGGTCTGAGCTAGAACCTTGACGTTCTCGACGTCGACATTGACTGACACAGTAGCCGTTGGCTTCGACTCCTGCGACCTGAACTCAGGTCCAACGGACTGTGTGGGAGCTGGAGCGGATGACATGACTATATCGGCGGTATGATATGTTAGTTCACTTTGAAACATTTCACATCCTCAACCAGCAGCGCCATTGATCTGCCGATGATGGAGCTGGGAGGCCAAACTATCCACTTCGACGAACCAATTTCATAGCTTGGGTGTAGGGTTCGCTGTGATAATCCATCTGTCTCACTTACTCTGTGAAGAGACTAGGTACTTACCGCCTGTTATAGCCCTTGGTGAGAATTGACTGAGAAAAGTAGATTAGAAAGTGACCGGAAGCTGATGATTGCTGAGAACCAATGCTGAGCCTGTGACGGCGGTTTTTCAAAGGAAGAGGAGAGTTCCAAGCTCTGTTGATGCCTTCCCCAATCCGGTATCAGCTATCGTGAGGAGGCAGTGGGAGGTAAATCTTATGCATTAAAGCAATCCGCGTGCAGCTTGTTCAGTGGGAGCTGATAAGCCGAGGGCGGCAGGTACAAAACGCTACATTACTTGCACTTTGCGTGCACAAAATTTGTGCATAAACCGCCTAATTAACCCCAGCTCCCTTCAGAACCTTAGCGCAAGGCCAGTCGCCCGCCTGCCAGTGCCGTAACGCTGTAGGCTGGTAGGCTAGTTGGCTTAGCGCGACCAGTCAGTTTGGTGGAGGGATCGCCTTGATCAAGCCTCACTGTATACCGCGAAACGCATATTCCTTACCTCAACCTCTTGATGCTCTCGCTCCCCACACCCTCCGGCCTTGAAAAGTCGCACACCACTTCCAGGTCGCATGGGCGACTCCGAGAGTTCATCAATCGCAGTACGAATGTATTGAGTCTTTCCTTCTCACCGCGGTCTCATCCGTTGTCGCAACCACAGTCGCTCTTGCTTGATCCACCATGATGGCATCACGAAACGGCCCCAAAGGCCCTGCCCCGAAGAAGAATGCTGTTACATACGGCAAGGCTCCTCGGAGTCGCCCACTGGGCAGTTTGAACACAATCACCGAGTCCAACCCCTACGATTTCCCCGACTCTGATGGCTCCGACGCATCACCAACGCCGCGGAAACTAAACCCTCCCAAGATGAAGCCCGCGACGCTTCCACGACCCCCCAGTGTCCATCGTGGCTCAATAGATACAGGAAAAGCGCGCGTTCCGGCGAAGCAAAAAGAAAATGATGGCGATGCGCGCAAGAGAACCCACTCGAAAGCCTTTGTCGAAGATGGTATCATTGTGGCACGCCCGCCAACGAATACCTTCAGCGCACGCCTCAAAACAACACAACCGATATCTGAACCCACCCCCCGAATCGTGCCGAAGCCGAAACCCCTCGACCAGATTCAGAACAAGAAGCCCAGACCTCCTACGACATCGAACCCAGCTCCGGTTGCTCGCATGCCCGTGAGGCCACTCAAGACCGTTGGATCCGCAAATGCTACCAAGAAGCCGGAGCTCCCTAAACCACAAGCCCGGAAGCCCCGGTTGATCGATAGACTTGCCTCCCAAGCAGAGGAGGAATCCGACTCCGAAAGCGATGATTCCAGTGCAAGTGAGGATGACCGAGATCGAACCCTCAGACACAGATCACAGACACCTGCATCTCAAAGAGCAAACACTGCTATGGAATGGTCTCAATCAAGGCCTGAGCAAACGAAGACGCCTGCAAGTAAAAAAATCAAGCATACATACAGCCAAGCTCGAAGCATTCGAGAGGATACTCAGCAAGGCGATGATCCTTACGGTTTGTCGGCCGATGCGCAATTGAATTCCCTATTGTCAAGCCCTCCAATTAATGCTAGTAACCCGCCATTTTCACTTCCTGCGGATGACTTCGACCTGGACGATGACGAGGACGACTGCCCTAAATCCGCAATCAAGAGTATCCACGAATTGCGCCGTGCTGGGGCAAACAACCGTTTCGCCGATGAGATGGAGGACCTGCTATCAAGAATTGGCGCTCCTGCTCGGGATCAGGTATCAATGAGGCGCAGCTCATTATTGGAACTTGCACAGAAACTGCAGCGGGATGATTTCGCAGCGCAGTTTAGGGACCACGCCGCTCGCGATACCATTGCAAAAGGTATTGGGCAAGAGACCGACATTATCAGTGGTTTTGCTTTTACGTCAAGCCTTGTGTTGTTTTTATCATCGAATCATGCGCCTCATCTTCTTAGGCGGCTTGTTGAGGAAAGGGTTGGGAAGATGCTCAGTGAGCTGTTGCGAACTCGGGACGACATTACCGTTTTGGCTGAGCAAAGGGCAATGAATGTGTCCAAGGCAGGTCGGGCGTCGCTTCGCGGAGTAAGGTCATTTCTTCTGCGAAAGCCTCTATGGCTTCAGCAACGCCCTAGCTCGCTATCGCCACGGACCATGGCGCTTCAGCTTCTTTCAATTCTTCACCGCTATCTAGAAACCCGGTATCTGGAACAAGTTATCCGGGATTCAGAGTATGAGCTACAGAAAATCATTGCATCTGAAGACCCGTACGACCTCGAAGAAGACGAGGTCGAGGCCGAAGAAGACACAGATACGGCCCTCATTATTGTGATTTTGGAATCACGCTCAGGGGCAGGCATAGAAGCCACCGAAGGAACCCAAAAGATGGCGAGGGCATCCAAGATATCGCAATTCCTTCAGAAGACTCTGGAGGAATGGCCGAAAGAACAAGGCGAAGCAGTCACTACTACATTGAAGCTGGTTATCAATACAACGAACGTCGAGGACGGTGCCAAAGCCTTTGGTAATACAAGGACATTACAGCACTTGAGTCGATGCATTTGTGAGGGTATTCGCCAAGTCCAGGAAGCTGTTGAAAAAAACAGCTTCCAAGCCGGGCTTTACAACGAACTGTTACTCGTTCTTGGCGTTACAATAAACATTCTAGAACACCATAAACCATCCAGGGCGCTTATTGACCAGACAAGTTTGGAAAGGCTCGCAGCTTTATACATGGGCAATCACGAAGCAATCGATGATGTAAGGAAACCATTCCGGATGAAAAGTTTGACATGCTGACTTGTTTGAATAGGCCGACTCGGAGCAGCAGTCAAAAGTGAACGTTGCTCTTGGCTACCTGGCTGTCATTCTTGGCTATCTCTCCCTCGACCACCAGGCTCGGGGCGTCATACAGAAGCACAACAACGGGTCGGGTCTCACCCACCTGATTGAGTCAATTCAAAAGTTTTCTAGACTTTTCAGCACTGTTGACAACAAAATGCACGAGTTAGAAGGACTTGTCAACGAGCTTCAGCGGCATCGCGCATAGAAGGCTGCTGGTTGTGCGGAAAAACGCTTGTGTCATGTTAGAGGGAAACGAAAGGGTGCTTTGTATAGGCGAAAAGGACGGAAGGAAATGGGCTTGATTAGCAATGGAAATGCATACCACGGGGGGGGAATTTATGACATCCTTATATCTACTGAGTTATGACAAACACCTGATGACCTGCATTCCGTTCGCTGGCGTGGTGTTTCACCTGCAATTCTTGCTTGACTTCGCATCGTCGAGTCATGGACTGTCAGCCTAGCAGGCGTGCATGTGGGCCAGAAGCGTGCATGTGGTAGCGTTGCCCATCACCGCCGCAGTTCTGCTTGGCTGCAAGCCGAACTGGAGCCAAGAAAGGGTCTCGCTTGACTAATATAATAACGGCAAACCTTGTGGATTGGTTGCCACTGCCTCCTTCTCAAGGCGGGTCCCCCGAGTGCTGGATTCTTGCTCTTGAAACCGGCCGGGCAGCATTGGATGCAAGCAATATCTGCTTCCTTGTCCACCTTGTGCTTTGCTTCTCTGGCGCCTGAAGTTTACTGACCTGCAGCCCCCTGAACCCCTCCTCCAGCAGTCGCAAGCCCCCCGAAACCCTCTCCGCCGTTACATCATCGCCACCCCACCATCAAAACACGGTACGACAGACCACGGCTGAAGCGACGGCTCCACGGGTTACATCGCCTCGAAGAGCACATCCCATCGCCTTGCCTGCGGCGTACTTTAGAGCGGTACACACGTCCACGTCGCCCTAAATGCCTGCGCCGAAGCAACGGAAGGTCGCCATTGTTGGCAGCCGAGCTGTCGGTAAGTAACATGCCTAAGCCAGGGCGCTTGTTTGGACCAAAAGGGGGTTTTCGTCTGTTTTCCGACGCCGAGGTCGCAACCTCGGCGCCTCGACAACGAGGCGCAAGGCGATACTCGGGCGCAAGTCCTGGTGCGAATTGAACACTTGCTGATCTGGTCGGTTTCACCTTTTTTTCTGTAGGCAAGTCATCCCTGGCGGTCCAGTTCGTCGACGGCCACTTTGTCGACAGCTACTATCCCACAATTGAGAACACATTCAGCAAGTCGATCCGGTACAAGGGCCAGGAATACTTGACCGAGATTGTCGACACTGCTGGGCAGGTCAGTCCACCAGAGGACCCCGGTTCGGGGTGAAACAGCCAGCTAACGCAGGGACGAATGATTGCCTTGCGTGCAGGATGAGTACAGTATCTTGAATTCCAAGCACTTTATTGGCATCCACGGCTACATGCTGGTCTACTCGGTACAATCGTCGAGTTCGCTCGAGATGGTCCAGGTCATTCACGACAAGATTCTAAACAACCTTGTATGCACACGCCCTCCTCTTCACACCGCCTCGGCCCACACAGAGAAAATGGCTAACTTGTCTCGCGCGCAAAAAAACAGGGCACCCAGACCGTCCCCGTCGTCATAGTGGGAAACAAGAGCGACTTGCGCCCCGAGCAGCGACAGGTCACCGAGGAGGAAGGCCGCAAGGTCGGCGAGAAGCTGGGGTGTGCCTGGATCGAGGCCAGCGCCCGTTACGACCAGAATGTCGCCAAGGCTTTCGAGCTCATGATCGGGGAGATTGAGAAGTCCCAGAACCCGGGGGAGCCGCCGCAGAAGAGCAACTGCTTGCTGATGTGATCGGGACTAGAGCTGGCCCCTCCCACTTCATTCATTCTCAAACCCAAACCGACCTCTCGGCCGCCGATGAAGAGTAACAAGCTGAGGCGGGCCTGGTTGAAGCAGCGACGGTCACTCGAGCTGATGTACTCGAGCTGATCTCGGAAGATGAAGAACGTTTTATGCGCCTTTTCGATTACGAAACGAAACACGGATGTCATTTTTTGGCCATTGGTACACATGCAAGAGGTTTTGGTCACGTTGGATTATCTTTAATAAACTTTTGGACGTTGGTGTCTTGTTTTGCATGGGCTTTTTTAGATATTCAGAGTTTAATAGACTTTATTCAAGCTCTCGCTAGGGAAGATTTGGCTCTCGTGGCACTAATTGAGCCATGCTATTCTCTGCCCCTTCTATTTCATCATCTCTTGCTTGTTCCGGCGAGCTGGTTGTCGCAACCTGCCTCTGTCCTGGTCGAAGCGATAAGAGCAGAATCCCGAGCCCGATAAGACTCAAACAAACGAACCCCGCGTCGGAAACGAAGTGGCCTGAAGTTTTTGGGTGGGGCGTAGCAACAACCCCACCATTGTGATCTCGCAGCCAGACTCTTGATCAACAACTAGAATACCTCAATACTGTTCAGGAGTCTGCTCGGGGTCAAGCCTGGATCCTATTTCTCGTCTTGCCCGTCGCTGTGGCTTTGTCTCCTGGAAAAAGCCTATTATTACTTGGTATGTACCCGGAGGCTCTCTTCGTTTGGCGGGGATGACTCAACGGACATGACTCTTCTGTTTTGCAAAACCTTTTAAAGCACCTAAATGACCAGAGACATCCCTCGCACTTGTTCATCTTACACTGTCGCGCGAAGAATCACCTTCTAATCGAAGTATAGAGTCGATCGCAAATCCATCAAAATGCTCGACATCAACGACTTCATCACGGAGCGCGGAGGAAACCCAGAGTTGATCCGGGAATCCCAGCGACGCCGCAATGCTCCAGTCGAGATTGTCGACGAGATCATTAGCCTCTTTGAGGACCACCGAAAAAGTACGTTCCCAATTACCAATCCACGAGTTGACGATCGCCTAATCATCCATCTTGTTAGCTAATTATGCTGCTATGCAGATGAACACCCAGATCAATGGCGTGCAGAAGCAGATCGGAGCGAAGAAGAAGGTGAGTGCGGACAGTAAAGCGCATTAAGCAGGAAATTAGTTACTCACAAAGCGTATTGTTTAGGCTAAGGAGAACGCCGACGACCTCCTCCAGGAAAAGGCCAACCTCGAGAAGGAGAAGAAGGCGCTCGTCGATTCCGCCGCCGAGAAGGACACCCTTCTGAAGAAGAAGCTCAAGACTATCGGCAATTACGTCCACGACTCCGTCCCCGTCAGCGCCAACGAGGATGACAACAAGATCGAGAAGACCTGGGCCCCCGAGGGCGTCACCGTCGAGAAGAAGGAGGGAGTGCTCTCCCACCATGAGGTCCTGCTCCGTCTTGATGGATACGACCCCGACCGCGGTGTCAAGATTGTTGGCCACCGAGGATACTTTTTGCGCCAGTGGGGTGTTTTCTTGAACCAGGCCCTGATCAACTATGGCCTCTCCTTCCTCAGCGAGCGTGGTTACACTCCCCTCCAGACCCCCCAGTTCATGGCCAAGGACTACATGGCTAAGACTGCCCAGCTTGAGCAGTTCGACGAGGAGCTCTACAAGGTCACTGACGGCGACAATGAGAAGTACCTCATTGCTACCTCTGAGCAGCCCATCTCTGCCTACCATGCCGACGAGTGGCTTGTTGCCAAGGACCTCCCCATCAAGTGAGTTGAACCAAAATGCACACATGCGAGGGCGCGACTAACAAAGCACGACAAAAGGTATGCTGGTTACAGCACATGCTACCGCCGGGAGGCAGGCTCACACGGCCGAGACGCCTGGGGAATCTACCGCGTGCACCAGTTCGAGAAGATCGAGCAGTTCCTCCTCACCGACCCCGAGAAGTCCTGGGACGCCTTCCACGACATGATCTCCGTCTCCGAGGAGTTCTACAAGAGCCTGGGGCTCCCCTACCAGATCGTCTCCATCGTCTCCGGGGCGCTCAACAACGCCGCCGCCAAGAAGTTCGACCTCGAGGCCTGGTTCCCCTTCCAGGGCGAGTACAAGGAGCTCGTGTCCTGCTCCAACTGCACCGACTACCAGTCCCGGGCCCTCGAGATCCGCTACGGCGCCAAGACCCAGACGGAGACGAAGAAGAAGTACGTCCACTGCCTCAACTCGACCCTCTGCGCCACCACCCGGACGATCTGCTGCATCCTCGAGAACTACCAGACAGAAGATGTGAGTATTACCCCAATAGGGGAAACAGTGTTTCTCCTCATGTTCCCCCCTTACCTAACACGATCCTAACAAATCATTTCTTAGGGTCTGCGCGTACCCGAGGTTCTCCGAAAGTACATCCCCGGCGAGCCAGAGTTCATCCCCTTCACCAAGGAGCTCCCCAAGGAGTCCACCTCCAAGAAGGCCCTCCCCAAGAGGGAGAAGCCTAAGAACTAAATGGCGGTGGGAAAGAAAGTTCAAACGCGTTTGTTGTGTTGGGGTTGTGCGTGCATGGGAAAGCGAGGTGGTTTTCTATAAAAAGAATACACGCCATATAGAGGAACAATCAATTGAAAGGCTCGCTCTCTACCAATGAATGATACAGGGGCTTCCTCTGCTGGGTATTCGTGATTCGATGGTGAATGTTTGATGCGGATCATGGCGGTGATTCAGCAGTGGGGGGATAAATACGGGGAACCGGCAGCTTGCATACCCTCAGTTCCAGATACGAAGTTTTGTTTGCCCAATCAATCGGGAGCGGGCACTGGGATAAGGATGAATTGTCCGTCGCCAGGTATCACTGCCGTGTCTGAATCTTGGCTGAGGAGCAGACGACACTGATGCTGCGCCACCTACACATTTGATTTGCTAGATGGTATGTAAGGTGTATGACAGGCGCATCTGCCCGGCAGTGACTCAGTGCAGTCGAGGCTTGACGCGGCGGTCCCCATTTCATGCCCAAATTCCATCGCAGAGCCATAGACCAACGTAGACAGGAAAACCATCTTAAAAATGCGGTCAGTCCTGGAGTAAGATAAAAACACTTCACAAGGTAGCCCTTCATTCGGCTCCAGCTCACAGACCACCTGCACCGGGCCCTGGCTCAGTCTAGTTGACCGTAAGCGTCCCAGGTAATTGGCTAGTGGGCCGCGATTCACGTTCGCGTTTCCGATATACCCCATGGTTGGGGATGAGAACCGTGGATGTACTGAGACAGAGAGATGTTGATGAATGCATGATGGTATGTGGTGTCTATGCACATTGCGTGGTTCGGGACTTCCAGCTGACGGTGATGGTTGCTTCGTCGTGCATCAGCAGACCGACACGGCTCACCCGGATGATCCTGCAGGCGCACCTGCAGGACCCGAGGCGAGAGACACGGAAGGGAGCAGCAGCAGCAGTAGCAGGCCGAGGAGGGAGTCGAGGAGGAATGGAGACCGGTCCCATCACCATCACCATCACCACCGGCACTCGGGAGCGGAGGGCGGCTCGTCGTCCAGGAGGCGGACGCCCACCAAGAAGACGGCCGCGCCCAGCTCCCAGCCGAGGATCGTCCAGGCGTGGAGAGACATCTTCGGCAGCAAGAAGCCGAGCAGGACTCACGAGGCCCGGAAACCTCGCCAGAGGAGCAGGGCTGAGAGCAGCGGCGGGTCGCAGTTGAAGCCGACCAAGTCGAGAGCAAGCCGTTCGCATAGCCACGAGAACGACAGTTCAGTCAGGCCTTTGAAGGAGATTACGAAGCTTGGAGTATGTCATCATCCTCCCGAATCACTAAACATGGGGTTATTCGTCGTGTCTAATTTATTGGTTGATATGCAGAAATCGGATCTGGGACGTCACCATAATGAGAATCACATGCCAGAATGGCTGGTTAGTATCCTGGAGCGGAATGAAGGCGTCTGCAAAGAAGGTCCGTCCCCGTTTTGAACCACTGTCAGGGAAAATCGTATTTTCGTTAACCAGCTCGAACAGGGATTGTGCCGATTTTGCAGCAGTTGCTGGACCAATGTCCCACGACTGAGTACGCCTATGTGTGCAGCCCCTGCGTGACACACATTTCAAAGACGAGAAGAGAAGGTATGTTCGTGATGAGCAGCAGAATGGCCCTGGAACCATCCGGAGAAGCTGGCTAATATGCTGTTGGATAATGAAGGAAGTTTCTGCGGCTACCGGAATATCCAGATGCTAACTTCATGGATCATCGCATCGGGGGCGCAAGGCTCGAACATGTTTGGTCCGAAGTTTCCTTCTATTTTCCAGATTCAGGACCTAATAGAAAATGCGTGGGACAATGGATTCAACGTCCAGGGCAGACTTGAGACGGGTGGTATTAGGGGGACAAGGAAGTATATCGGCACTCCAGAGGTAAGCAAAAGAGACCAGTCTTAAGACAGGACGGCAGACCAGAATACTGACTATGTTTAGGCAGCGGCAATGTTCTCGAGTCTAGGAATTCCGTAAGAGTTTCCCTTTTGTTACAATAGGCGAAGTAGTCTGCTGACAGGCAACACAGATGCCCACCTCAAGCTTTCAAGGATAAAGATTTCACAGTGGCTAGGAACCTGCTATACGCGGCTATTGAGCGGTATTTCCAACAGGGGCTGCTGGAAGAAGACTCGAAAGTGCATGCGACTGTGCTTCCGCCAATATACTTCCAACATCGAGGTGGGACTTAAATATTCCTCTGCACCTGATCGGCAGACTGATGGCAGGGTGGGATTGGGACTAACAGAAAATTCTATCCAGGCCACTCAATGACCATTGTCGGATTCGAGAAACAAACAAACGGGAAGTCTAACCTCCTAGTCTTCGACCCCGGCTACCGAGATCCATCCGTCGTTTCCAACCTCGTGGGCAAGCCCTTCAGACACCCGGCCGCCAAGGCGTCGGGCGTCCTCGAGTCCTACCGCCGAGGAAACAAGTATCTCCGCCGATTTGGCGAGTTTGAAATTTTATGGTATGTCTGGATAAATACGGCCGAAGATCTGATTTGTATGAAAACTGACCGAATCCTTTCTTTACTAGCCTTGCCAGCAGCCCATCGAATGCATAGCGATTGAATTTATTCAGAGCCCTTGTTTTGCTCCTTGAACCAGTCTTGGAGCTTCTGGAGAGCGAGGCTGCGGTGGGAGATTTTGTTCTTCTCCGACTTGTCCATCTCCGCGAAGCTTGTGGGAGTGTTAGACGTGATGACAACAATGGGGGGGGGACGGGACCAACTCACGTCTTGCCCTCGTACTCAAAGATCGGATCCCAGCCTGTAATTTTAGAATAGAAATTGTGACGGTTAATTCAAGATTCAAACACACTGCTTATGAGTGCAAATTGTCTACTCACCGAAATCGGTAGGTCCTCTGGCGGGAACAATCTTGCCCTGTAGGTTGCCACCGGGTTAGATACAAACCCCACACTTGTCAAACCTCGATAGAACGAATACATACTGGGCAACGGCCCTGGAATAGGATGGGCTTGTGTCCTGGGCCAGTTGAATATCCGAAGGTGGCCACAGCTTCAGCGGATTTGTCGGGGTAGGCGGCGAGGAGGTTGTTCAGACCCTCATGGCCGAGTGTTTGCAGAAACCACTTGCTGTTGAAGATTCATGTCAGTAGGAGAATCAAAGCATCAGAATCTCTGAAGGAACGCACATGTAAGGGCCAGGAAGACCGCCCAGAGCCTTGAAGCAGAGAGACGTATCGTCGACTAAGACGGGGCCACCTGCCTTTCCAAAGATTTAGCAAAGGAGCGATTCAAGGTGGTTGAGATGATATCCGTACCGCCTCTGCTGCCCTGCGGCACTTGGACTCCGTTACTTCCTCGATGGAGCCCTGGACCTCCTCCAGGTCGATGTTCTGACTGCGGACCTCGATCCCCGCGGCTTCAAGGATGGCCTTGACCTCGCGCAGTTTGTTGGGATTGCCCGTGATGAGGTTGACGTGGGTAGGCATGGTTCTGGCTTGACCGCAGATGATGCCTCTAATTAATCGTCAATTGTTTTCTTTTCCGAGTGATCAGACGCAAGACAACTTAAAACCAGATTCTTCAAGATGGTTGGTTGATAAGGAAGCTTGTGAAGTTGATTCTCCTCCAAGCGAGGCGCCCCGGTTTAAGCATAGATTGACCCATTAATAAATATTTCACTGCCCCGCCTCTTCGTTACCTGCTTTGATGGCGGTTTATCTTGATGATAAGGTAGAACGTGAGCATAAAGCAAAGCATATAGAAATTCTTCCATTTCAAACCAGCACTATAATAGATTCTAAGAAGCAGGTGTCTATCTCGACATTTCTGCCCTCCCTTTTTTTCCGTCTAACCCAAACAAACCCTGCGCCGCTGCCTCTTCCCAAGAACGAAACCAAGCCATCCCAAATTTTTCCCTTTCCCTTCTCTGTGCCACACGTTGTTTTCTCAAAGCTGTGAAACGAAGCATCGCCGAGATTAGGACTCGGCGTTGTCCTTCTTCCACTGTGTGACCCACGCCTCTATTCTGTCCACGTTGGTGTCCATCTCCTCGGACGTGGTGCTCTGCAGCTCAATCACGATCTCCTCGTCAAAGGCATCGCGGGCCTCCTGTAGCAGGACCTCCATGATCTCCGTGTCCAGGTTCTCCTGAAGTTTGATTTCAGGGTAGTTTCTAGTTTTAAAAACATCAATCTCCATGTCTGGAAAACGACATGACATATGAGGGATTCTCACCTCGCCTTTAGACGGTCATAGAGCGTAGTCGAGTCAACACGGAGGACAACCACCAGGTCGATCCAGCTCTTGGGGAACAGATCGCACGCATGCCAATCTATGATGCAGCCTCCCTCTTTAACGTCATCTTCAATTGCGTCCAGAAGCTTTTCAAGGTTTCGGTCAGCCACAATCCAGTTCATTTAAAAGTGAGTAGTTGATAGCTGCCACTCACCTTGTCCTCGTCCACAATCCAGCTCTGGTACTCATCGTCCCATCCCTCGTGGCATTCCTTGTCCTTGACGACCTGGTTCACAGAAAGGTGACGGGCTCCGATCTTCTCGGCCAGGATCTCACAGTGGGTAGTCTTTCCCACGCCTGGGGTGCCTGTGATGATGATATTGGGCGACTGTCGAGGCATGGTGGCCTAAACTGATGCGAAACTCTAGGTCGAAAACCTGAACAATTTTACTTGAAGTGACAGACAGGTGTAAATTTCTATTACAGCAGCCTGGAATGCGGGTGCCCGTATACGTATATGGAACTCAAAGGTTGATGAAAAGTTGGTTGAATGTATGTATTTAGCGAGGCTGCACTGAGCAAAATTGATGGTGCGAAAATACTCGTGGTGGTGCATGCAACAACCGGGGTTTATACACGAGTGTCTTACAACCCAAACAGCCACAGACAGTGGCAGTATGGATTTTATTCCAATGCATTTCAGCAAGCTACAAGTTACTCGCAAGCATCCCATTCATCATTTCCGGTATCAGCAGAGCTGCAGGGCGTGTTTGCGATCATGTTCATTGCATAGGATGGCTGGCGGCTCGACACCAGAGCGGAGTCTGTGCGAGTCAATGGGAGCAATGCGCCTGAGTCAAAAAACTACTTGCAGCAAACATTGAGGCCCAGTTAGAGTTTCTAGCAACGTGAAAGTCGCAAGGGAAAGGCGTCAGTCCTTCCTAGCCTATGGTGTTCCACGGATGTTCCACGGCTGTTCCAACGGCTTTGATATCAACGAGCAAAGCCCACTTCACTTACACCACTCTGACGTCTATGACTAGCAGGGACTTGCGATAAGATAGGGAAGCACACCAGAAGTGGCCCATTCCTTGGCGATGACCACACATACCTTGATGGCTCACTCGCTCTTACAGGGTCGGGTCAGCGCATGTTCGATTTGTCAGGCCCAGCTTCAATGCGTGAGATCGGGACAATTCAATCACCAAACCCGACTCCGACTGAGCATCATGTCCCCTCAACTCGTTGACCTGCACAGCCACTGCACCACCCTGCATATACGCTGGGCGGCCGACCGCCGTTGAGGCTAGCACCCTCCTCCCACTGGCAGCGGCCGTAGTGCCCTACTAGGCAGCTAGCCCAGCACTGTTGGCCCGCAGCCAAGGAGGGGCAGCCGCCATAAACAGAGCGTGTGCCTCGGTCTAACCTATGCAGACCATCGCCGCACTCGCATTCGACGCCCTCTTGCCCCGTTTTGGCTGATCGCTTCTCTTTTTTCTGCTCCTTTTTTGTTGGAGTAGCGGCGGCAGCCGAGACTCAACGATTCTGCTCAGGGGAGTGTCGAGCTGCATCATCTTGCCCAAAATGGATCGGGTGCGTCACTCAGACGTTGCGCTGCTGCCCATGACCATCCTGTGATCCGGAGGCCTGGGACGGAGTCGCGGAGCATGTCAGTTCACTCACTTAAATAATAATTACATACATACCCTGCTGCCCTCTCCCCTCGCAGCCGGCATCAGTGTCAGGCCTGCACTTTCCACAGGTGGCTGTTCTCTTTGTCCGTTCATCGCCCAATAAGACGTCTTTGATTTGATTGATCCTGCCCACACCGCTGCTGGATCCTGGTGGCGCATAACTCGAGTGACGATAGCTACGGCCAGCTTCGACAGTCCCAGTCACTGATGGCAAGCTCTACTCACCAAACAGAGGGGCAAGCTCGGGTGGCCATCATCGGCACTGGCCTTGCCGGCCTCACCACAGCCCATCTACTGCACAATGACGAGCGCAAGCGATACTCGGTGACGTTGTTTGAGCAGGTGAGCTTTGGGACTCTGCTTTGGTTTCCTTGTTGCTAACAGGTATTGTTTTCTCCGACTGCAGTCCAACAACCTCTCCTTCGACTCTGCTTCGGTTGCTGTCAAGGATGGCAAAACCGGCGCCATTGAGCGAGTCGACCTGCCCATGCGCGCGAGTGCCGGCGGGTACTATGCCAACCTGATGCGCATGTACGAATACCTCGAGATACCGCTGCACCCTATTCGATTCCTCTTCGTGTTCGCCAAGGCGCTGCCTGCCAACAGCTCGTCGTCGTTATCGGGCGGTAGCGAGCCCGGAACGTATTTCGTACACGCTTCGAATCTACACCAGACCCCGCCGCCATGGCCTGGGAAGAGAGGGGTCGTGGCGCACATTGTCGAGATTCTGTATCTGATCGTCTGCCACTTCTGGTTCTCGGTCGCGTGCTTTCTCGTTCAGCCCCGGACGACGGCGGGTTCGGGTTGCGAGGGGTTTGGGGAGTCGTTCGACGAGTACTCGCGGAGGATATGGCTGCCACGTCGTTACATTACTCACTATCTCCTCCCGTTGATGAGCTCCGTGTCGACATGCTCCCATGACCAGCTTCTAGCATTTCCAGCCAGCGACGTAGTCAACTATAAACGATTGTCGCACGGGGAGCAGCATTACGCCGTGTGTGGAGGGGTCAACCAAGTCCAACTGAGGCTGGCGGGGGGCATCGAGGATGTGAGGCTGAACGCTCAGGTAATCCAGGCCATGCCTCTATCGGATCAGCCTGCTGGTGGTGTTGAGATTCGCTGGCGATCTGTAACCGATGGGTCAGTTTCAGAGGAGAAGTTTGACAGGGTCATTCTCGCAGTGTCCCCCGATGTTGCCAGCAGAATTTTCAGACCCTTGGCTTCGAGGCTCAGCGTAATTCCAACTATCCAGGTCGAGAGCTCAGTCCTGTCAGCCACCACAGGAAAAGGGACAGCACGACACTCAGTAATCGAGACAGACGAGCCGACGTCGAACCAGTGCATGCACCACGGCAAGAGCATCTCCAGTGCACAAGTGATTGCCCTCAGATCGAGATTCTCGGAGAAGGGATCGGAGTCGGAGGCTCTTCACACCATGCCCAGCGGTGTCGTAGTGAGCACATGTCCTCTTGACGGAGACTTGGGTCTGAATAACAGGGTGCTGCACTCGGCCAAGTTCACGAGGACCATCCGCAGCACAGAGAGCCAGGCCCTGATCAACAGCATCATGAATCGACCAAGTACGAGCCATAAAGCGGACGATG